TTTCTGAATTTGAAATGAAAATTCTGAATTTGAAATGGAAATTCTGAACTTGAATTGTAACTTTCTGAATTTAAATTGCAGCTTTCTGAACTAAAACTGAAAAAGGTGTAGTAAGCTTTTTTGCGGGAGTTCGATAAATAACTAGCTTTTAATTAGCTATGACAAAACTAACTTTAAGTTAGTTGTAAAGTCGTGCAGGAGTCATGCAGACGCAATCAGGAGTTTGTTTTCTTTACAAGTTTCTATTTAAAACTCCTCATACAAAAATTACTTTGAATCAATTTTTTGAGCACTTCACAAATTCTTTTTGTAATTAAGGATAAATAAATGAAAGATCGAAATTTCATATTATTATTTTGAAATTATGTCTGACGGTGTTCGAAATGGGGCCACCTACAGCAGAATATGTAAACAAATATGAAATGTAATAAAGTAAAGTAAATAAATAAATGAATAAATAAATAAATAAATAAATAAATAAATAAATGAGTAATAAATGAATAAAAAAGTAAAAGTAAAAAAACAAAAATGATATTTTGTTTTTCTTATTGATATTTTATGTCGAAAATCCACAAGTTAGTTGACATCTAATGCAGAGGAAATCAGTTCTCATCATTTCAAAAGTAGTTAGTTACGGCCAAAGGAAATAGCTAATAAATAGTTACCACTAATATTTAATACAATATGCTCAAAACTAAAAATTAATAAATAAATTAATTAATACATTTTTTTAATAAAATTGCAATGATTTTCGAAAATATTATTAGTCCTACATAATTTGGTATATGGACATTTTTTGTAGAGAGTCGAAGTTAGCAAAGAAACAATTTTTTTTTAGTACTTGAACTTTGATGGACTTGGGCGAGCCTAGGATATTGACCAAAAATTTTCACATTTCACACAGATTTTTTTTAGAACATAATAAACCATATTTTTGCTATTACCAATCCAAATTCTAAAAAAGCGGGTTTTCGGCCCATGCTAGTATGTAAGTGTATGCTAATTAGCATTAATGGGACTACGGGGCGTATGATTTACTTCGATTTTAAAATTGAGTTATGTCATACGAATGGACAGAAACGCTCCAGTTCTGAAAGTATTCACCACGAGTCGCGATGCTGGAAGAGAGGAACAGGAAGGCCTCCTCTGCGATTGAAGGACCAGGTGAGAAAGGGTACCGGGCATTTGCAATTGGCGTCAGTCGGCAGCGAAGGGAAAGGACTGGCGTGCGTGATCGTCGATAATTTTGCAAGGTATATCAGTGCGAACTACTATAATCCTTATACTGGCATATACCTAAATACTTTGAAAAAAGTCCTACATAAAATCCCATATATATCCATGTTACGGTTAGTTATATTTTAATGTATAATTAAATAGGAAAATTAATTTCTCTTTAGATATATTAGATTGCGAGCTGGAATTTGGCACACTTTCTAACACAAAAATAAAAGCATCAGATTGTTACAAATAATTGTTTTTAAATTGTTTTCTTTTTTAATAACACAATTTTTGTTCTCATTTTCGTTGTTGGTGTTTCCGACAGGGTAGGAGTGTGATGTAATGTGGAACGATTTTCCGTCATCCCTTGTCAAATTTGGTTTGGAGGCAAACCGGTTTCGGCGTTGTGTCATCTTCAGTGTCATTTTTCGTTCGTTATGTTCGCGTGTTATTCACGCTACAATAAAAAGGAAAATATGCGGAAATATAGGTCCATCGATTTCCTACAAACGAAGTCAGAAAGTAAACTTGGAACAAAACTTAGTTAAGTTGTAGGTAGGGTCGAGCACAGCTAGAGCTGCAGCAAGCCGTGTGTATTTGTTATCGAGTAACGAGTACAACCCCTAACTCGGAGCACCAACACGTTTTTACATAATAATCTCGGTTCTCGCATTTGACATATATGCCCCATTAAACGAATCAATACAGTTCTGAGTACAAATGAACGTTTACTTATCACCACGTCGATATCACCATACACGTCGCAAGGCTTGGGTTGGTATGATTCGCATTTGTTTTGTTGCTGACTATAGTATTCTTTTATATGGGTGATAAATCGCACGATACATCGCGATGTATCTATACAGAAAAAAAAATCAATTGATAGAAAAATAACCAACTTATAGTTGGCTTTTTTGCGGAATTTCGATAAATAACTAACTTTTAATTAGCTATGACAAAACTAACTTTAAGTGAGTTGTAAAGTCGTGCAGAAGTGAAGCAGACGTTTTCGGAAGTTTGTTTTCTCTAAACAAGCTTCTATTTAAATATGCTCATACAAAAAATAATTTGAATACACTTTTTTTCTGTACTTCGCAGATACTTTCGCGAATTCAGGATAAATAAAATAAAGGTCGAAATTTTATATTATCATTTTGATATCATGTCTGATGGAATTCAAATTTGGGATAGTACGTGACAAAAGAATATGTAAAAAATATTTACTTATTTTTTGTAATGTTAAATAAAGTAAAAAATATTTTTATTTGTAGTTATTTTATGCTATAAGTTAGCTGCCGTCTAATGCAGATGAAATCAGTTTTCCCTTTTGTGTATAATAAAGGGGTACAACTAGTTGACTGCTGTCGTCTAATGCAGAGGAAACCAGCTTTCACTTTTGTGTGGCCTTCGCTGTTCAAAAGTAGTTAGTTACGGTCGAAGGAAATAAGTAATAAAGGGGTACAACTAGTTGACTGCTGGGTAGTTATAAGTTAGCTATAAACTGGCCCCGTTTCCTGCAGAAATGTTGCTCCGGCAATTTTGCATTTGTTCGAATGGTTGCAAAAGTGTGTTTTGCTTGTATAAGTACGTATGTACATTAGGGTGGTCCAAAAACAGTAAAGTCGGAATTGTAATACTCTCACCCCCTAGGATTGTTCTATATCGAAAAAAAGTATAGCCCTATTTTTTTATTTTGAAATCAAAAAATATTTAGAGGTCGCTCAAAGGGCTCAAAGTTTTTCATGTATTTTTAAATGGGAAAAATAAAATTTTTCATAGAAATGGTATAGAATTCTTGAAAATCAATATTTTTCGAGCAGAAAAATCTGGTTCTCTTCAGGATACTTTCAATAATAATACCCATTTTTTAATACTAACGATTTTTTCTGGTCGCCCCATTGCATTTTTCGGGCTTTTGTGGGTTTTTGGCGGACCTATAAATTATAGGGCGATGGAAAAATTGTTAAACAATGGGTATTGTTGTTGGGAATCTGCTGCAGACAAACAGAGTTTTCTGGTAGAAAAATATTGATTTTTAACTATTGTATATCATTTCTACGAAAAGTTGTTTTTCCTCATATAAAATACGTGGAAAACTTTGGGCGCTTTGAGCGACGTCTAAATATTTTTTGATTTAAAAAAATAAGGGTATATTTTGTTTAGATATAGAACAACCTTTCCGACTTAACTTTTTCACATGCATTTTTGAACCACCCTAATGTACGTGCGTACATATATATGTATGCATATATGTTGATATTTTTCACAAGGTACATAAGATGGCGACATGGTTCTATATTATGCGGTTTTACAAATAAAATGTCCAACAATCAACAAATTAAATTTGATTTTATCAAATTTTGATAGTGAACAATTGCTTTATTTTTGAATTGTTCGCATAGAATAATCGTTGAATAAAATTGTGAATCCAAACGAACGAACATAATGCTACGAGATTCGTTTTGATGATTCGTGTGGGGTACAAGTGCTCGATTGTATCAAAAGTAACGAGCAAAGTAACGATGCGAAAGTAACGGGTTTTGATTGGATTAGTAACGAACACATACGGCTGTCCCACATTTCGTTACTTTTACAGCCCTAAGTGAAACATGAAAAAGGGTTTCTTATAGTTTCAGAAGCTTCCATTTTTGTATTAAAAAACAAACACTTATTTTCGTACTTGCCTCACTTATTAATTAACAGTTTGCCTATTTTTCATCCGATATTATGGGATTTATAGACTCACATTTTTCCGAGTTTTCATAGGGTAAATTAAAAAAAAAAGTCGTCACATTTTCCTTAGGTGAAGATGACTTATGCCGCTTTCAAAATAAACGGCTCGTACATACCGTCGATTAAAGTACAAAACTGCGTATCAAGATAGAGTAAAAACACTCATATTTCAAAATAGTTCACTTTTTTATAAATCAATCGCATTCCTGGCTAGTATATTTCAGGACGAATGGATAAGGATTGAGCCAAGAGCTGGTGTGAGCAAATCCAATTTTTGGCTGCAAGTGTCAGTTAAATGGTTTTGCAGAATGACGATACGCGGTTTTGTACTTTAAACGACGATATGTGTATATGAATGGTACTTTTATATTTTTTGCGTAGTATGGCTAAGGAATTTATCAATATTTACTTAAAATTTATGTGCAAAAAAATGAGTTTGCATAACAGTTTTGGAAAAGCGGATTTTTGCGACCGCTGACAGAACATCTGCTCTTTGTGTGCCCGATTAAAGAATTTTTGATAGAAGTCATTAAAGTTTGCTATTTGAATGGTAATGCAAATTAGTTCCTTCTATTTGAAGGTATATATAACTAGTACAGCTACTTCGAATACCACTACCAAAATATAAAAAATACACTAAAGTAAATAAATCTGTGGAATTTATGTATATTAATTAGGTTCAATAAGCTTTCTAATTGCATTTTTGAAAACTAAATATTTTATTAAAAGAAAAACAATGTTATATAATTTTTCGACACTTGGATTTCGTAAAGTAAGCCAAATTTATTTTAGTGTTTTTGACAATTTTCGCCAAGTTTCATAATGGCCGTGAAAGTAGTTAGGTCCTAGACCGGTTACTGCAGTCATTATACCATTCTGGCAGTGCTGAACCCGTTAAAAGGCTCTTTTGCAGTGCTGCCATCGGTCTAGCATTAAATTTGCCTAAGTTATTGTGCATTCTTATCCAGCTACGATTCGTTTGGTAAAGTAACAAAATATTATTTTTGGTGATACCGAAAAGATGTGAATCAGTGTTCAAGACTCACCTTCAAAATCAGCAGAAAACCCGCGAAACCCTTTATTGGCATTTCGATTAACATAGTTGATGAGCATCCGGCTTGAGGTGCTTTTTATTGTTTCTGCAGTAGCGTTGCCACAAAGTCTCTTAATAACGGGTGATCTGTACCAATAACCGTCGCGTATTTCCAAATAATCCGTAGAACAATCTGTGGACTTTAGCAAATGCTAGAATAAAGATAGAAAAATGTTACTTATAAATATTTTACCTAAATACATGCATACGAGTACTTATTTCCTGCAAAAGTGTCATAATAAAAAAAAAAAAACGAAAAAAATCGAGAATAACGGCTTTAAAGTTTACAGTTTACAAATACATAAAGCAGAACACAATCGGGAGTTTTCCCTTCCAAAATCTTGGGAAGATCTCCAAACTCACCAGTAGTAACCTAAAGAATCCAAATGGTTTGACGAACCCAACGAATCATAAAAACATATCGCTAGCTTAGAGTGAAAAGTTGCTAAGTCCACTTTTTATGAAAACTCATATTTTGATATAGGAGGCTAGAGAAACTGAATACGCATCGTTTCGAAAATTATAAAGGTACTTGTTTTATTTTTTCCTCTTCATAAGCAATAAAAGGAAAATTTGCTAAGTCCAGAGAAGCATCACAAATCCGATAAGGCGAAAATAATACGACATCTATTAATAAATATCGAATCCTTCTGATTCTTATGGAGTTTTGCTGTGCTTTAAACGCGCAAAATGTTTGATTCAAAGTCTTGCGAAATAGTTAAAGAAAATGGCTATAGGAAGATTTTTTCCTCTCCTGTAAAATTTTTAAAATGGGACTTAGCAACTTTTCTTTCTAAGCTAGCGATATATAGAATCAAGGATTCCGGAGAAATCGTATCAAGATTGTGCTATCAGCACTAATCCCGGGAATGTAATCAGACGACGCTTCTACCAACCAACCAACATACGCTCCCCTTGTGAAAATGAGGGCAAATTTTCCATTTTCCATTAACCAGTTAGCGACAATTTTCGGATCGCCATTGCACTTGTTTATGCAACAACATTGATATCATGAAGAGCTGACGGAATGTGCTGTATACTTAACTCAAAAAGCTTCTCCTTTTTGGGTTATGACACTTTTGCAGCAAATGAGAGCGATATGTGTCTATTTGACAGCTTCAAATGAAATATACGATGAAATAGCATCCAAAAACACAATCAACTTTTTGGAATTTTCCTACTGTGCCAGTGTTCGTATGGAATAGTAGCTTAAGTTGGGATGCTTTAGTGTTCATATGTTCATATTTTTAGCTTAGTAAATTTTTTTATTTGTATGCTCTTTTATTAATTTTGCTTGTTGACAAATATCAGCTGTTTGTTTGGCAGTTCATGTATCATACCGTTTCTAAGACGTAACTGTTGGACCCAACAGTTGACAGCATTTCCGCTACAGTTGGGGTAAACAGTTGCATCTTAGAAACGCGCCCATTCAAAGCTTTGCCAGCACCATCAAATGTTAACCAAACTCACAATAAAAAATTACAAATGGGTCTCCTTATTTTCGGTATTATTTAGTTCTGAGGGTGGCCGGAGTTTTGTTGGACCACCCTAATGCATTCATATAGATCGCCACCTGAGTGGAAGATCGACCCATATCGGCAGCCAGTTCGAAAATGCCCTTTCTCAGAAAACTTTTCAAGAACGCCCTCTTTTAGAATTTGATTGAAGAACGCCCTGCTTTTATTCGGAAATACATTGAAAATGTGCTGAGATAGGAATTTTTTGAATCGGCATTCTGAGATAGGGCGGTATTCAATAAAATTCTGAAATAGGGCGTTCTTGAAAAGCTTTTTGAGATAGACCGTTTTCGAACTAGCTGCCGAGAAAGCTCGATCTTCCACTCAGGCATCGATATGTGCTTATTGAAAAAAATCAAAAATTAGAAATTCCGCTGCCGAATATAGTAAAAAATAAAGCTTATACCTTTGCAATCGATTTAAAGATTCCTGATCAGGCGACTAGTAACACCAAGCGCCTAAATGCTTGTTGTGCACTGCTGCATGTGAAAAATTTCGTTTGTGCACGTCGTCACATGCACTTCTCAATTGCCATATAATACAACTTTTGTAAGTTATAATTTGATGACACTTCAAAGGTTGCTCGGCCTAGTCTCATGCTTCCTACAGACAAGGCTTCGGGAGTTTGTACTTCATGTTGATATGCGAATAAATATGTTCGATTCACACTTACCACTTGGTGTATTTGTAATATGATACGTTCCCCATTTGTCGCTGTGATACGCCATTCGCACCTCTCTAGCGATTTGTCAAAATCACTGACCTCATAATCACCACTTCCGTCATCATCAACCGCATTATTGGCTTCCATTGCCGCATAGGAGTATTCATAATGCGGTGATACTATCTGTCCAGAATGCTCCTGAAATGTGCGTCCACAACTGCTGCACTTATACAAAAGATTTGCTTTAACGATGTCACCTGGACTTAAACGCAGCCGCTGGCCGATTTCAATGTGTTGAGGTTTTGACAATCCAATTGGCTGTATCGTTTCCAAATAAACATTCTTGGCAAAGGTATTCTTTGCATAATGCATGATGGAATTGTAGTCGTATGGTAATCCCAGTGAGTCGACATCTTCCGGCGAGAGTACATCGAAATTATACTCTTGTCCCTTCATGATGTTATCCTTATTGATATTTATATGCTTATCGCGATCCGTGCGTGTATGCTCGTGCCAAAATCCAACAACATGTCCAAGTTCGTGCACTACAATTCCGAATTTTTCGCAATTACGGCCAATCGAAATGGCTTGACGCCCAGTTCCCCGCTTGCCCACAAACGAACAGCAACCACAATTCTTAACCGTGAAGTATATATAGTTGGGATGTATTTTGGAATCGCGTTCCACAAATTTTATACAGGTGAAGTTCTCCCAATGGCGCATGGCCTTCATGAAGAGTGCCTTATGTGTGCCACTGAAGATGTCGTCGATTTCGTATGGTATTACACCGTAATCCCAGATGCGCTCCTTTTTAGCGGTTACTGCACGTCGTGGGCGTGAAACTGCATTTAAATATGAAACATTTAGGAGATGATGGAATGAGTGTGGTTTAGATTTATGATTTTGTTTAAATTTGTTGTTGTGCCTATGAAGAATAACAATGTTAAGTCGATGGTTATGTTTGGAAGGGTTTAGGAAAGCTTACAGAACTTTTTACCTGCTTTTCGCTTCGTTATGAGAGTGGGTTTTCGTGCGCCGCTTGTTGTGCCTTTTTCTAGTCGGTAGCCGTTTGCCTTTAAGTTGTTTGAACAAACGCCTGAAAATTGTGAGAATTTTATGTAATTGGTATAAATACAGACCTATTTGGTAATAGTTTTACTACAAAATTCTATAGTAATACTTAATATAAAGTTTCGAATAGTTAGTGTCTTTAAGTTATCACGCAATTGGGAGGATCAAGAGTTTTACGTCGCTTTGTATCGTCACACTTAAGGTCGTACGATACGCGGTAACGATATAAGCAAAGGTTCTCAAACAGTTGCGGTGCGGTACAGCAAGAAGCAATGTTGCCATGCGAAGAGCGGTTAGCGGCACTATACACTGTTTTGTAACGCATTCGTCTTTCTAAATTTATATTTATTACTGAAAATTTTCTCAACTTTAATTTGAAGTTTTTATCATGATTTTTTGTTAATATTAATCTAGTATTATTAATTTATTAACCTAATGTGATATAACTCTAGCTCTTAACAGCAACTCTGCTGACGATATATCTGCTTATTCCGCGCGGTCAACTGTGCACGCTGCGGTATAGTTATGTACCGCCTTGTACCACACTTCCAATACCGCGTCTGTTTGAGTGCTCCCATATACCGCCATGGTATTTGATACCGCATATCGAGCGGGATTATGCCGCACTGTACCGTACCGCGCCTGTTTGAGCAGGTCTTTTTGTAAGTACATTTTACCGTACCACCTTACAGACAAAAAAAAAGTTCGCCGCACACCTTCGTGTCTAAAGTATTCATGTAAGGAAATTTTGAGAATAATGTTCGGTGACTCTGAGAAAAAACGCGTTTTAAACATGAAATTTTTTTATTTGATTACCGTTTAAAAATGTTCGTATTTAAATCAAGTGAAAAGTTTTCAAAATTTAATATTTTCATTACACATGCACTACGTATCAGAGTTGTGAAAAATTCATTAATTTTTTAAAGCATTAATGGTATTTAAAGCAATAATGTTAATGTAAAAAATTAATGCATTAATTTATGAAATTTAATGCAAATGAATATTTCAATGGATTAATTCTGAAAAATGTAATGCTAATGAATTTTTTTTTTTCATTAAATTATCCAAGCTAATGCTAATGAAAAAATTTTAATGCACTAAAATGTTTAATAATGTCGTTTGCATTATTAAAAACCATTTAAGTTTTTTTCTAGTAAAATATAAATAACCTCTTTTGGGAGGACTTGGAATAAATACTAATAGTTTTTTCAGGTTCATTATATTATGTGTATTTGTAGAAAAATTCTTATAAACATTGTTAGATGTTTTATGAAAATGAAAGCCAATGTGCATGCATCGCAGAGTGCTTTTGTAGATTTTTATGTTGATTGTTGATGCATACTGATTACATATATTATGTATGAGCTAAAAACGGACAGATAGCCAGTTTAGCAGCGCATGTACACGACTGAGGACCTACTCTGATCTAAATCAATTAATAAACCGTTTTTTAGCTCCATTTGACAATGTGGTTCTACCTATTTAACGACAAATGCCATTGAACTTCCCATAGTGAAAACCAGCCTTAACGTCCGTAACTATCCTTTTTGACCTTAAAATTCTACCCTCAACGTCAGCAAAGAAATTTTACTTCAAAATAAAATTAGTTAATGGGTTTTTAATGCTTGTTAATGCAATAAATTATTGCAATAGCATTCATTTAAACATTTTAATGTAAATACAAAAAAAAAATCATTAGCATTATTTCTTCGGAATTAATGCATTGAAATTTTCATTTACATTAAATATCAAAAATTAATGAATTAATCTCTTTCATTTACATTAAAATGCTATGCATTAAAATATTTAATGCATTTTTCACAACTCTGCTACGTATATTGGAAATATTCAATTAGTATTAAAATGAAGCATTTTTCACTGCACGGATGGCGTTTTGCACGTCTCGGATGGTTTTTCATATGTAATTAAGAGAGTATATGTATACAAAGCATGCACAGCGGTGACAACACATACACACATACATGGCACATGTTTATCTGTACAAACCCTGCAGTCAAATGTACTAGTTGTAAACTACCTCACAACTAGTACGAACCGCATGCCCAACTAGTCAGCCAACTATCTTTTTTCCATGCAATCAACTGGTATTTTTAACATGGGGATGTCCTCCGAGATGATAATTGTCAGATTTTGGTCAGAAATATACCAGTCTCATACTAGTTCAAAATATACAGGAAAATACTGGTCCAATTATATCATGAATATACAATAAAAAACTTTTGATTAAGTACACTTTAATACATTACACATTTTTATTTAGGAGCCGTAGATTTTCCAATAATTAGTGTTAAATTGTTTGAGTATTAATTAAAAGGGAAAATAAATAGATACATAAATATTTCAAACTTTCGAACATAAATTTAAATGCATTTTTCATTAAACCTTATTAAAAGTAAAAGCTTTCAGGTACAATAAATACTATATTTTTATCTTTTTTAATAACATTGAATATGGAAAAGAAAACATTTTAGTTAAAAATAAAAGGAACGATTTTTGAGTGAACTAAAGTAATGATACAATTTTTCATTGAAATAAATTAAATTCATTAACTTTGCACATTTCAGTCCTTTCTTCTTAAAATTTTTTAATTAATGTTTAAAATTCGAGATTTGGATAAGAATAAAATAAATAAATAATTCAAGCAGTTATCACATATTCTTATTTTTTTCTGTACTTTGGCTTGTTGATTGATAATTGAAATTAATCAAATAATTATGTTAATCTTGTAATTAAAAACAGTCAAAGATAATTGAAAATACTCAAAAACTACAAAATAATGATGTAATTCAAAGTAACGAATTAATTAAACATTTTTGTTTAAGTAATTGATTATTAATCATTAAAAAGGTGCTAATATCGGTATTTAATCATTAAGCGGTTATCCAAATAAACATGCTTTAATTAATAATCATTATGAATATTAATCATTATTTAACAGGTATAGTATAATGGCGAGTACATACTCGCTTTAACGGTTTACAATATACCCAAATAAGAGTTATAATATTTAGTTTACTCTATTGTATTAAACTGTCGAAGTCAAATAACACAGGGCATGAATAAATCGTTTTGTACTTGGTACAAGTCTGGTAATTTTCGAACTAGTTCGGTTTCAGTCAGGAAATTCTAGTTGTAAACTAGTATTTTTCCTGACTAGTTTGGGGTTTCACTTCAGGGAATGCACTAATCGCGCAATGTGATGTTGATTCAAACTCAACATTTGAAAACACATTTACATGTATGGCTGTAGCTGAGTGTGCAAAGAGGCTTGATACAATTGGTTGCTACCAAGAGGATACGGGTTCAATTACCATCAGACGGAACATAACATTAATTAATTAATTTTTTTTTTCTTCTTAATTACGAAAAAGCATCTGTGCACTTCACAACGAAATATTTTATAACGTACGTTCTCAATTTTAAAACGAGTTGGCTTGGTGCTCTTTAATATGAGTATTTTTTAAATTTAGCACGTTTTTTTTTAATTATAAAATTTGTTTCCCTCAGTGTATGTATGTATGAACATTAGATTGCATCACTCCACATAAAAAAAAAAATCGGTACGTTTTTCCGTTAGAATTATAAAATCTTTTATATTTTAAGACTTGCACCAAAATATATAGGAAAATATTATTAGAAATTTTTGCACTTTTTTCAAAGATTGGTTTAAGAAAAACTTGAATAAATTAGCCAAACCTTTACTGATTTTGACTTATGAGCGGGGCCGGAAAGTTGAAGCTTTTGCCAGCTTAATTTTAACGATGATGCTTATTTTCCTTATTTCAATTCATACAGCTAAGTACGGACCTTTTAAGAAAACGGTCAAGAAATAAATTGCTATTATTTAGTGTGTATGAATAGTAGTGTCCAAGGAGTTTTGACATCTGATATTTTACAGCCTGCTGTCTAACTTTTTCCTTCGGAAATAATGGAAATTTCTGTTGTACTCTTCACAAACAAACTTTAGCAAACCATAGTAGAAAGCGTAGCAAATTTCTTAAGAACTTCGTATTGCTTAAAAAAATGTGGCTCAATAAATTTTTCGTGCCCATTTCTTGGGCATTTATAAAAACAGATTTAGTTTTTATTAACCCGTAACTTCAATTGCATTTCTGTTTAGATATAACGAGATAACACGATCTTCCATTCATCCGTCGATATGTATGTATGTAAAGAAATACTTATGCCATAAAAATTAAACAAAAAATTTGTTTTCTTTTTAAAAAATTAACTTAAAAAAAAATACAATGAAAAGACTAAATAAAAAAAACATAAAAAATATTTTCCTCTGCCCAAGCGGTAGCGCATTGCATGTCGGCCAATGCGACTGTTGGATAGGGCTGCCAGACGTCCCGGATTTCCCGGACATGTCCCCGTTTAAGACTATTCGTCCCGGTGTCCCGGCCTACCTTAAAATGTCCCGGATTTCGTTTAAGTGTCCAGATTTTAATTGCAGAAATTTTAATAAAAGTTCAAAAATCACTACCAATGCCATTTGTGAAATAGTTACATCTCCAGATAGTTGAACTTTGCACAAGCAATATTTGATGATCGATATACCTATAATGCATACCTTTAAGTGCAAAGTGCCCTTCCTGATGCTAATTAGCCCTTTTTGCTAGTTTGTTGTTTGTGCATGGTTTAATTCTAATGTAAGTTTTCGCAAANCATGTATGGCTGTAGCTGAGTGTGCAAAGAGGCTTGATACAATTGGTTGCTACCAAGAGGATACGGGTTCAATTACCATCAGACGGAACATAACATTAATTAATTAATTTTTTTTTTCTTCTTAATTACGAAAAAGCATCTGTGCACTTCACAACGAAATATTTTATAACGTACGTTCTCAATTTTAAAACGAGTTGGCTTGGTGCTCTTTAATATGAGTATTTTTTAAATTTAGCACGTTTTTTTTTAATTATAAAATTTGTTTCCCTCAGTGTATGTATGTATGAACATTAGATTGCATCACTCCACATAAAAAAAAAAATCGGTACGTTTTTC